TTATTGAGAATGGCAGAACCTAAATTTTAACACTAATAAGAATCCCAAATAACACATCTAATAACTCAGTGATGTAATAACCAGAGAGCTGTTAACATTGGATGATTTTATGCATTTCTGCATAGTTAAAAATTAGCGTTGCATCAGAAAGGTTTCTGCAAAACAATGTTTATTAGAGTTCTGCAGCACCAAGATGTCACAGATTATTTATTAAAAAATAACCTTGAATAGTTTAAGGCCACATTCACTACTATATTTCATTTGTTAATCCCTCCACAAACAGTCGTAAATTGATTTGAAATTGATTTGAGTCAAACATTTTCCCAGCTTATCATGATGGGAGCATTAAAAAATGCATTCAATAAATATTCCCCCCTCCCTCCAACTATAGATCACAGAGAAACAACCATCATCTTTTCTCCACTTCACCCAAAAGGAAATAAATTGATACTAACCACCCTACCCATCTTGCTATGATAAAATCAATAGTAAACAATGGTTTGGGAGAAGGCAAAACCACCAGCATCCTGCCACCATTACTATATTACAAATGAGTAACTGAAGAGACAATCACACTACATTGGCAATACTATGATCAAATGTCTTGTCTCCAGTATCTCTAACCATAATGCATGTTAGTGGAGCAACTGAGAGGCAAGAGAACAAAAAAACTAAGTCTTAATTAATTCAGACAGCTTCTGAATTCTAATTTGAGTAGACTTTTGTGTGATTAAACTCAAATAATTAAAATGTAGGCAACCTATATTTCTAACAAATGTGCAGAACAATGGCCTATGTTTGAATTTGATCTGCTAATAAAGTTTCAATAAATTACTAAGACTATGCAAAATTGCATGTTAGCAAAAAGGGGATTATCTATTGTGTCACAGGTATTCCAATGATTACATTTAAGGTCTTATTATTGTATTCTGTTAAAACAATGGTCATTCCTGACTGCTTTACATTGCTATCAGTTTTCTTACATTGTGTAAGTTCCTAGTTGTAGGTCTTCTCTTTCTTTCCAGCAATCCTATTAAGGACGTAGAACACAACTATCTTGTATCCATATAAAGTGTATTAAAGTAAATGCACATTTAGAGATGCATAGCTGTCTAAATCATATGACCACAATAGACCCCCAAAATTTATGTTGCTAAGTGAGACATTTGTTAAGTGAGTTTTGCTGATTTTTCTTGCCATGGTTATTAAGTGAATCATTGCTATTATATTAGTAGCCTGGCTGTTGTTAAGTGAATCTGACTTTCCTGTTGACTTTGCTTATCAGAAGGTTGCAAAAGGTAATCACATGACCCCAGGACACAGCAACCATCATAAATATGGACCAACTGCCAAGCATCCAAATTTTGCGTAACCATTGGGATTCTGCAATGGTCACAAGTATGAAAAACAGTCATAATGTCACTCTTTTCAGTGCCATTGTAACAATCATTAAATGAACTATTGTAAGTCCAAGAGTATTTAGTTTAGCTATTAGTGTACCTGGGTTAATCATAAAGTGCAATTACAAACATAACTAAAAATGTAATGTACAAATTCTTGGAAATATATCTTTCAGAACTTATGGGGGCATCTATAAATGAAATTAAGTTTCTGTACATGCACATCAGTGGTGGGTTTCAAAAAATTTTAGAACCTCTTCTGTAGGTGTGGCCTGCTTTGTGGGAATGGCTTGCCGGCCATGTGACCAGGTGGAAGTGGCTTGGAAGTCATGTGACTGGGTGGGCATGGTAGAACTCACTTAACAACGCTCTTGCTTAGCAACCAAAATGTTGGCTCAGAAACTGGCATTTGAAGCACCCAAGTCTTAAAACTGTCAAGTTACAAGACCCTTGCACCCCTAACCCTTTAGGAAAAAAAACCCATGGGTGTTCAAACTTGACAGCTTTAAGATTTTTAGATAGGACTCTTAGAGGTGGGCAGGATGATTGAGATAGCCAATCAGTGAGCGATGGACGGGGCAAGCGTGGTGCGGATGGGCGGGGGGAGGGAGCTGGAACCGGTTCTAAACGGCTCTGTAGATTTGTGGAACCTCTTTCATAGAAGAGGTTAGAACTGACAGGAACCCACCCCATATGCACATGCATACAATGACACCTAAGATTTGCTCCTGAAGCAGCAGCATGAACTTGGAAAGGATGCAATTGCTTTAACAATCCTAATTGTTAGGATAAAAGGGATAATTTAGGCACACTTCTGCATGTTGCAAAGCACTCTGTAGAGTTTGAGCAACGTTTCTAATGATTAGCAAATTAAGCAATGATTAGTTTCTTCTGAAAAGTGAGATGAGGATAGAGAAGTGGAAAAGTACAGGCATTTCTGTAGCAGCATTTTCATTTTTGTGGTTCTTTTCCATTCTGCAGGAGAAATTCATTTTAAAAACAAAGGCAATAAGACAGATATCCATCCAATATTGGCAAAATGGCTCTGATCCTTATCAGTACACACACCAATATTTTCACATAGAGACCCAAACTCTGAAATGATGCCTCTAAAATTGGCTAAGATACCAGTTGGAAAGAAAATGCCCTGGGGTGTGCACCTTATTACAAGCAATAGGTATCTGAAAACCATTAGAAAGAGGTGTTTTACAATACACAGGAACAGGCACATGTGAGACAACTGACTTGCTTTCAACACAGCTGCCCCCAAGTCTTGCAAAAGATATATGGTAGTTATTTTAACAGGAGGTGCCTTATTCAGGCTTCTGCACATTGAAAAAACATCTATTTTAAATGTTTAAATAGCTCATGACTGGCTAGGGGAAAATTTTACCTTCTTAACAAAGTAACGTATGACTACTGCCTTTTTATTTGAAACAGTAAATTAATAAACTAGGATAGCAAACTGCTCAAAGTAACTTTTTCACAAGTGATTTTGATAGAATATAATATTGGTAAAAGAGTGTGATAAGTCTGTCTCAACATACTCGGAATCTAGATCAGACTTTTCTATTTCTTAAAATATATTGGGACATCAATTCTGGATTGATTCTCAGAAGTATTACTGGGTTTAGTAATGATGAATCACAATGCATATTGCTGCTACTTACTAACACTGATTAAATTACACTTTTATTTACATTAGGGAAGATATCTTTTATAATCCTTTCCTCAAAAAAATATGAAATGGTGAACATGTGTCAGGAAGAGTATTCCCATGTGCTTCTCTCTTCACAGTGTTCTTTAATATAAAATACCTAGTTTGTGTTAAATTGGAATTTCCTAGAACATTCTTACTTATGTCAGTTAATTAACCTAAACCAGAAACAAATCTATAAAGACAATTCAACAACTTTTAAAGACCCAAAGATTGTCTGATCTTATGCCATGAAGTCAAATAACTTTCACAAAAGAGTATATTTCTTCAATAAGATACAGTTCGATGTTTTAATTCTGGCTTTTATAATTATAACTGACTTGGTTTGGTTTGATTTGATTTGTTTAAATATATATGTTTGGACTTTTATATTATTTCATGCAAATGTATTTTATTCAAATTCTGTAACATTCATCCTCAAAATCCAGAATGATAAAATCAAAACAAGCAAGATTATATATTGCTTGTTTTCCAAATGGTACTTTGGAAAAGTACCATTTCCAAAAAGACTATTTTGGAAATAGTGAGAAGCATTAAAAAGAAGGAATCTAATGCTAAGTTTTAAAATCAGAATGTTGAGTATTAAGGACAGGAATACATGGAAACATCAGTATTTAATGTGTCCCATTTGAACAGATTTTCAAAAAAAGGATCTTATTTAGGAGTTTTTGCTTAACTGAGATTTTTTGCTTACTGCTTCCCTTGAGGTCAACTATAACAGGGAGCCAGCTGAATCTTCCCATTATGAGCTTTCCCTCTACTTTGTTTGCACATAATCTAAAAACCTAGTACAATTCAAAAGTTCAAAATTGTCAAAAATATTCTAATAAGAAAATATGAAATCTTATTAGTAATTTGCCTAACATAGTTACATTAAATGCAAATTTCTGCTGTTTGGCCATTAGTATTTTTAACCAAACCATACTTATTAAGTTGCATTTATCTACTTGGCAAACAATTTATATTGGCATCATAAAACTCCAATGCTACAACCCAATGGATGAAGTTTACACAGAGGAGAAAGGATTTTCTGACTTCTTCAAGTGATAATGATAGAGCCCACAGCAAATGCCCTCTCTGACCATCATCAGTCTTCAAATTTTGCTCTTTTTAAGATTAGGAAACACAACCCCAAAAATCCTAAAAAGTAGAGTTGACAGTATAACAAAGGTAGAATCGGACCATTTTCATAAACTGCACTCTCCAACATACACATACACCTACCAAATACAGATTACTTCAAGAGCTGGGCTGAATAAATTTACCACCCACTGCTTAGAAAGAGCTTTTTGTTTTTTAAACAAAGTGGATGGAAAGACTATGCCTTCATTCCTGCCCTCCTGCACACTGCAAATCAGAAGCAGCAACAAAACATTTAGATTATTCTTACTGACTGCAATTCTGTACTCTTTAATCCAGACACATATGAGTGCCTTCCCATTCAAATAGGCAATGTTCCTAGAATTGTTAAATGTCATTCAACACCAATAGCCATTCTATAGTATTAGAGAACGTTCACTTACCATAAATGTAATGATTTTACATGCCTCACTTTTATAAAACTCATCAGTGTTAAAACAATGTTTTTAAAAAGGCATCAGACACACTATTTTTTTAAAAAAATCACAATAGTTGCAAAATGACAAAAGTTCTGGTCTTTATCAATATAATTTTCTAAATTTAAAGTATGTTTGCCATATTGCAGAACATTTATACATGTTTATACATATATTGCATTCAGGAACTCAGCAAAAACAACAAATACAGTCGTGTGTTTTGTGATAATGTAGGCATACACTGCAGATTAATATCTGGAATTTTTTCTTTTACACCAAGCACAGTAAGAGTCATAAAAGCAAAAACACGAAAAGAAAGTAAGTTACCTCTTCAGTTCTTTCAGATGGTTTCTTCCTCAAAGCTAGTTTAATCCTGGGATCTATAAGGGATGTCATCCTATTACTCTTGTTATCCAATTACAGAGTTCTTCGGAGTTAAGTTTATGAAAGCGAGCGAGGGAAAACAATACACGAGCTCGGGAGCGCGATTTTTTTTCCTCCCTTCTTTTCAAGTCCAGCCAAACCCCCGAGTTAAAATGACGTTGGTTTGGAGATTTTCTTTTTCTTCTTCCTCCTCCTTTCTTCTTCTTCTTCTTTCGTAACTAATTCCAAACAACTGGCAAACTCAAAGATTTCATGAAAAGAGGGCCGTAGCCAGCCGAGAGAACTGGAGATCGATCCACCGCCAGCCGCGCGTCCCTCTTCGGCAACCGGGCGGCTTCGGCTCCCTTTGCTTTCGTCCTTACTCTCGAGGAACCCCAAAGTCTCCCCTGCGGAGTTTTCCCTACCCGCGGCTTTTCTCCGTCCCAAACTCGCCCGCTTCGCCACTGCTGGGAGCCAGAAGCAGCCTCCCTAACCGCAACGTCCCAGCCGGCCACACTTGCAGGAAGTGCCTGCAAGTCCGGCCGGCTGGGACGGTGCAGCTGGAGAGCGAGAAGGAAAGAAGGAAATTTTTTAAAAAAACGCCGCCGGGCCACCTCCTCAGGAGCTGAGAAACTCACCTCGCGGCAAGCCTCCCCGCACCCGAAAGGCAATCAAAGGCGCCCACCCACCGCCGAGCTCGCGGGAAGGAGCCCAGCCTCAACTGGGGAGGGGGGGGGGTGGCCGGGCAAAAGGGCGGGCAGGAGACGGGGGTGGGGTGGGCGGTGGCTGCGAGGTCACGTGGCAAGGCAGAAGACGCCCGCTGAGTGGCTAGGCCCAGGCTGTCATTCAGCTTCAGAGGCAGGGCCGAAGGGAGCCCCACCCCTTTCGCCAAGACGGTTGTGGGGGGGGTGGGGGCGCAAGGGGTATAAAAGGTCCCCTTGGCGCGAATAGCCAGAAGGGGCGTCGCCTGAGGGGAGGGTTTATAGCGTGTGAGCGTTTCAGGGGTCCTGCCGCTGTTTGGAGGACCCGATTGCCCTGGGCCTCTCGAAAAGGGGCTCGGCTGCACTTTTTGGGCACGCCCCGCGAAGCGGGTTGCTTTGGGGGTGGGGGGAGCGGGGTTCTCTGCGAGGAGCGCGCTGTTGTTGCAAAAGCAGGGGAGTGAGAGGGAGGGGAGGAGGAGAAGGCGGACCCGGGATGGGGGAGCCCTGCATGGGTTGAGAGCAGGGGCGATGATGCAATCCGCTGGAGCAACTTTCCCCGGAGTTGCCAGCCTGCGATGGTGGAAGTTGACTCAGGACGGTAAAGCTCGAAGAGGATAACCGCAGATCCATCCGAGTCCCGCGGGCTAACCGCCGCATCCGCTTCTTTTCAGATTGCCCGCACGGTTATAATAGCTGGGCCTGGAGGACCAGACGCATCTGGAAGGCACCTGGTTGGGCAAACCTAACATTTTTTCCATGGGTCATCTCACTAAATCAATAGCAGCCTGCTGATCTTGTTTTGCCGATTAGCCTATTAGGGGGAGCTTGGGGGGGGTGTGCATGGCTATTACTATAGTGCAAATCTTCGGGAGAGATTCAGTTTATTAAAGGCTCCAGGAAAGTTCCTCTTATAAAACAGAAGTCTTTTTTTTTAAAGCAGTGTGTTTCTGTGCGTGGGTTTCTATAGCTTCCGTGAATCCCACTTGAGCCTGATTGGGCATTACCAAATTTTTGGGTAAGTGTACTTTTCCATACTGAAGCAGGTCTCTTGAAACCGCCAGAGATGAACTGCACATTAGATGTTGCAGAGATCTAATGACTGTTGAGAAGCTCCTGGATTTCAAAATGTATCTATCACTGGACCTGTTTGGGATACTGACTTTTTTTGGCAGACTGATCCCTTTGTCAAAATATCAAAAAGCACAATTACAGCAGTTCTTTAATAATGGCAAGAAAGAACAATGGGTTATTATAAAGTTTTCCAAATGAAACCAAGAGGAGACAAAACCTCTTCATGTTTTCAACTAAGATTTCATTCAATGCTGCAGTTTAAAAGCATGTTTCTCCCCCCCCCCCCAAAAAAAAACAAAAGATCAGGATGTGCTTTTTCAAACTTGCATTCATTTTTGTTTGAGCACTCATAACTGATAGCTATTAATGATGCAGCCTTGGTATGGTACATGAAGCCAGGAGTCTGTTTTATTGCTATGGATTTGATGGCAAGAGGCAATATTCAAAATTATGTATACTTTCTAGGGATTTGTTCCTCCATTTTTTAAAAAAACTGATCCATCAGCTCTTACATATTTTTGATTCATCATTACAGATTCTTTCTGTAACTAGGAAAAATACGATTAATTTTTTTTCAAACCCATAAAAAAATTATTCAGACCCGTAGATACTGTCTACCAAGATTACATTGTTCTCTGATTCGTTGTTTCTGTCTTGGGCAGAACTAGAAGGAATAAAAATATGTACGACTTCAGAAGTTTTATATGAAAAAGAAAAGAATAGCCATAGCCATCCTTCCTAGGAAAAAAGTTTTGGAAAGAAATCCAAGAAAATATTTTCAAACACCAAAAGACTCAAAAAGAAGAAAACATTTTGGAAGAACTGTGAAACGTCTATGGCTCCAGGATGAAGAATAGGTTTTGAAGTTGTTTCTTTTTCCCCACAAATGCCAGAGGTTTCAGCTATATCGCTGAGAGATAATATGGATTTCTGGGACAAACATGGGCCAGGGGACATAGAACAGTGTGTTGGTTTATAGCCTGTGGGGTCCTGCAATCTGCAGTGTATGCAGATGTGGGAGAAAGATGGTAACATAGATGTCAATAGAAGTGTAGAAGTGTTTGTGGCTATGTCTCCATTTATATGAACAGCAGACTGATGCTTTGATGTGGATAATGAAGTGTAAATAAAAAGGGTGTGTGCTAATAGTCTGGTTCTCTGATGTGCATGTGAACTGAGAAGAAAATCTTTATTACAGGGCAGGAAAATTCATATGTATTTAGGACTCATCCAGAGCCCCAGAACATATTGTGTACCTCTCTCCAGAATTTAATTTAAACTGAATGTTCAGTGTTATAGAAAGACATTTAAACTACACAGAAACAACCATAGTTACTTAATTAAATTCAGCTTATCTCCCAGGTCTGTCTTCAGTTAAAGTATGGCCCAGTGTATTTTCAAAGACAAGTGTAAGCTTGAAAAATAATGTGCACCCTTTCTGGAAGGCCATTTGAATCCATTTCAGTGAAGAGTATAAAAAAGAATGTGAATTTGTTATATTATACATTTCACATTACTGTTTCCCAACAATAACTGTTCCATAACCATAGCACATTCTGTTTTTCCTTGGCTTGGCATAAAATAAAAGCCATCCCAAAGAAAGAAACTAAGTGCTATAAAGTGTAATGTCTGAGCTTTTGTCTAATGCTTTAGCATGTCAAATCAAGCCCCAAACAAACCACATTACAGTTTAGTGTGATGTTCACCCAGAGTGAAGACAAACAAGAGTAAACTTACCTGTGAGTATTTATGAACACAAAACGCAGCAATTGAAATAAACCAGATGGGCGTATTCAGTTTAGACTCACAGAACACCTGATCAAGTCAGTGGATTAGTCATTTCCAGATGAGTTTGTTTTGTCAGTCTCTGCTTGAATGCAATTCGTGATTGAAGTGTAAGCCATACAGTGGTAGCTTCACTCTTAAAGCAAAGAGAACTTTTCATCGTTTACAAGTAAGGTAATCAGTTGAACACTAGAAAACACTGATTAAACTTGCGATTTTGTATGGGGTGAACTAGATTGTTTTAAACTTTGGTTGGAAATTCAACCTTTGCGCACTAACTCATGTGTTTTGGGTTTGTTCTATTATACATTTCATATTACTTTTTCCCAAGGATAACTGTTTTATAGGTAGCCCTCAAGACCCTAATTAGCAGAATTTCCATTGCTAAGCAATGCAGTCATTGAGTGAATCACGCCCAGTTTTACTGAAAAAAAATTGCCATGTTTGTTAAATGAATCATCCAGTTATTAAGCACATATAACTTCCCCCATTGACTTTGCTTGCTGGAATCCCTGTGGGAATGTCGCAAATGGTGATCATGTGATCTTGAGATGCAACTATTTAAAATGCATGCCATTTTCCAAATTTTGATCACATGATCATGGAACTGCAATGGATATGTCACTTTTTTCAACACACTTGTAACTTTGAAGGTTGCTAAACAAAGGACTAAATCAAGGACTACCTGTATTTTGCTTGCTCCCTAGTTTTTGAAGTTTCTTTGTTCAGATTGAAAACTCTTATTTTGAAGAAGAGTAACAAAAGGGGACTTTTTTTAAAAGGCCAAATTTCTTTTGAGTTTTGACTATAAAATATTTGTATTTTTTTTTTCTTTTTAAATTTTACATATGGCATCTACATTACTCTGCCAATTTAAACCATATAATTTGTTACTAGTAATACTTTATTGAACTTATTAGTAGTTTTGGGTGATTAGTATTTCATGTATTTTTTAATTAAATGCATTATGTTATACTATCTACATTCAATAGTACTAATCCCTTCCCAAAACAAGTCTGCATTATACAGATAAATACACTGGTGGTAGAAATATGAAAAAGAGATATTGTGAGATTGCATAGTTCATGCTTGTCATGTTACAAACAAAGCCTTAATCTGCCATTGCCACTGGTCAACAGTAAAAAGAGTCAATTTTTTTTCTTCTGACACAAAAAGCCAAGTTTTTAGACACACTTTTCCACATGCTAAAAGTTTTGAAACTATGCTCTTTTTTATATCTTGTTGATGTGGAAAGAATTTTACCATTCTAGTGAATGGTTATAAAATAACTGTTAAAAATGTGTTAAGGACATGTGAAACCCCTGTACAGGTAGGCCTCAACTTACAACAATTCATTTAGTGACCATTCGAAGTTACAACGCAGAGGTGGGTTGCTCCCAGATTGGCCCGGATTGGCTGAACCGGTAGTAGCAGCAGTGGGAGGCTCTGCCCGTCCATCCAGACACTTATGCGCATGCGCATAAGCTGAGCATGTGCAGAAGCGTTGCACACCCGAACTGGTAGTAAAAAAATTGTCAACCTCCCACTTTTACAATGGTACTGAAAAAAGTGACCTATGACCATTTTTCACACTTTTGACCATTGCAGCATCTCCATGGTGACAGGATTTACATTCAGATACTTGACAACTGGTTCATTTATTTATGATGGTTGCAGTGTCCAGGAAGCATGTGATCTCCTTTTGTGACCTGACCAGAAAATGGGAAAACCAGATTCACTTTACAACTGCTATGATTTGCTTAAAAAATATTAGAAAACACATAAATTTTTAAATGTTTTAAAATTTATAAAATGCAAATGCTAAGTGGGCAAAGCTCACTTAACAAATTTTTCACTTAGCAACATAAATTCTGGGCTCAATTGTAATCATAAGTTGAGGACTACCTGTATTCTTTTAAACCTAAAAATAGACAAGTCCTAAATGTTTTCCAATGATTATTATTAACTGAAATAGTGCTGATATGGAGGTACCATCGGTGAGGAAATTTAAACTCTTTATAATGGTTGT